CTGCATCTGGGTTGATTTTGGTTAGGCTAGCTTAAACTCCGCATATAATGTTTTCAGTGGGGATGTGTTTGGGGGCGACTGCGGAGTTGAATCCTTTGGAAAGGACATTGGTTTCTGCTATGGTGAGGGTTCTGTCTGATATGTTGTGTACTGTTTGTTTCATGTGTTGTTATGGGGAAGGGTTGGGTTTCTGGCATTTCTCTAGTCTGTGGAGTTTCTTGGTGTGTGTCTGTCTTGTGGGAGGTTTCGGCTCTCCAGAAGGCTAGTTGTTTGGATTTGTTCCAGAGTGCTGGGTGGATTTTGTTGCTGAGTTTGAGATGGAGTGTGAGTAGGTCTCTGTTGGTTTGGTCTACTAGGAATCTTTTCTTGTGGAGTTCATTTCTGATAAGGGCTAATTCCATTCTTTTCAGGATCCTTTCAGTGGCTGAAGTGTTGGAATGGAATTTGAGTTGGAAGCATGTGGGGATCACATTTTTGTCTCGGCAATTGCGTAGGAATGTGAGATCACACAAGATGGTGGCTCTTTGGACTTCGAGTTTCTTGTAGGTCCTGGTTAGCCAGAAGGTTTCCTCCCTGTAGAGGTACAATATTCGTTTTCGTAGATTTTCACGGGTACAGGTATGTAGGTCTAGGTGTGTTCAGGTCTTTTCCCGTGTAAGGTTAAGAGTATCTTGCCGACATTTCGGCGAGGTCCCACTCGCCATCCTCAGGCTGGTGCTTTCGGCTTCGTGCCAGTGCAAGCAGTGTGTGATCAGAGCTGCCGTCTCTCTATAAATACTGATGGTGGGGGCTGGTGTGCTGGGCTGGTTGGCTGCGCTGCTGCCTCTTGATTGGTTGATGGAGTTGATGTTGGTATAATGGGCTGTGTGATAGCCTTGTGAGTTTTGTTGTGGAGATATCCTGGATCTTGTGCTGTAATCTTTATGTGTGTCTTGTCTGCCAGGCGTAAAGACTGAACTATGCACCCTGACTAAACTACTGACAGCCAACGGCTTCCACAAAAGCAAAATCACTGGCTTGATCCACAAAAACACACTGAGACATAATGGAGACCTAGAAGATTAACAGACCTATGGAACAGATGTCCTGCCCTACATAAGAGGTACTACAGACAAAATCAGTAAGATACTACGCAGGCATCACATCAAGACTGCCTTCAAAACAGACATAAAAATATCAGCCATCCTTAGAAACCCCAAAGTTAAAATTGATCTGGAAAACCAAGGCATATATGAAGTCTCCTATGCATCATGCCCTGCCACATACATTGGACAGACCTATAGAAGAATAAGTACCTGCCTAGATGAGCACAAAAATGCAGTAAAAAAGCTGGAACACACTTCCTCACTAGTCCAACACATGAAAGCCACAGGTCATAGCATCAACTTCAATGGCACCAAAACCCTAGCCACTATAGAAAATCCCAGCTACAGAATTATCAGAGAAGCTATAGAGATTGAAAAAAGACCTGAAAGCATGACTAGAAGAGATGACTCCACCAGACTGTCAATTATCTGGAAGCCTGCACTCTCAAACAAAAAAATCTCCACACCACAAGCCAGGCAAACACCTGGGCACAAACAGACTCCCCCTGATACCTCCAGCTCAAACACACCCCAACCAGATGAAACCTAGCTTCCTAATAAATAATAGCCGTCTGTTTCTTTGGAGCCAAAGTGCACTAAAAGCCTCCAATACAGGAAACACAATGTTGTCAGTCAATCAAGACAAAAAAAGCCACAAAACAGTCAGAAGATATTAGAAACACCAATCAAGCAGAACACAGCAAACTCCAAGACCAATGAACACAGACCAAGACTCCCAATCAAGCGGGATGAAGAAAAAACCATTCTGGCACAGCATAGGCTAGCACCAAATTTAAAACAGAAACGGCTGTGAAAGTCTGACTCACAGACGAACACAATACAGAAGCCTGATGATGGCGGATGAGATTCTGCCGAAATGTTGCTACAGCTTTAAAAGCACAACTCTAATGACGTGGGAAAATACCTGAACAAAGCTGAATACCATACATGTAAGTACCCACTAAAACTTAAGAAAATGTATGTATGTATGTATGTATGTATGTATGTATGGTATGATATGGTATTGTAAGTATGTATGTATGTATGTATGGTAAGCCTGATGATGGCAGATGAGATTCTGCCGAAACGTTGCTACAACTTTAAAAGCACAACTATAATGACATGGGAAAATACCCAAACAAAGCTGAATACCATACATACATACACACACACACACACACACACACACATACACACACACACACACACACACATATATATACCAGAACACACCAAGACCTGCATACCTGTACCCGAATATATATATATAAAAATAAGGGACTGAAATGCATCATACTCCCTATTTTAACCCACGGGGAATTAAAAAATAAACCCACAGCAGACATTGTATACAGCAGAAATGGATTCTTTGTAGATGGAAAGCTGGAGAGATCTACAGGCTCACATAGCAAATTAAACTGGAGACAACTTGAAGGTAGCAAAAACTTGGTGCCCCACAAACGATGCCTTTCACACTTCTGCTGCTTGAGTTGCTTTGGGGCAGGGCAGTTTGCTTCCGGGTCTAATTCAGGCTGTTGGTTATGACCTTTAAAGCCTGGATGAATGTGATATTTATATGGTTTTTATGTTTTGTGTTTTAACTGTACAAAGAGTCACTTTGTGAGTGACATGGGTGATCTCCAAAACTTGATATGTATATACACAAATAAAATATTGTTTTCATTATAAAGAGAATATGGCGCCATTTATGAATCTCTATTTGTTGTTCTCCTCAAAGATGGGCTTTCACTCATTGTGGGAAAGACTCCAGAAAGTAAAGTCTCTGATATAATATGTTTATCACAGAAAATGATTTCTGGGGGTTTTATTTTACTTTTTGCTTTGGCTTGTAAAGGTGTGCCATTAAAACAAGATAATCCACTGATTTGAAAACATGTTGAACAAGAGATATACAGGTATACACAGTCACAATGGAAATATGTACAGAATCCATTGCCCTCATGATTCATATATATAGAAACATCAACGAAACCTCACATATTATGTTAGGAGAATAAGCATCTGATGTATTTATTTTGTTTATATCTTGCTTTATTTCTGTATGTGTGGCACACATAATGTTCCCACCTCCTATTTTGTCTACAACAGCAGCCCTGTCAGGTAGGTTGTAGTGAGCTACAATGACCTGCCCAAAGTCATCCAACTGACTTTCATGCTTAATGAAACTAGACTAGCATTTCTGAATCTCGACAACTTTAAGATGTATGGGCTAACTCCCAGAATTCCTCAGCCAGCATGACAGGTTGGGAATTCTGGGAGTTGAAGTCCACACAATGTAAAGTTGCTGAGTGTAAGAAACACTGCCCTTGAAGTCTTGCCCTAAGCCTGTGATGGCCAACCTATGGCACGCATGCTGGAAAAGGCATGCAGAGTCATCTCTGCGGGCACGTGAGCCATCACCACAGCTCAGTTCCATTGCGCATGCGCGCATGCCTCCCGCCAGTCAGCTGATTTTCGAGTATCCGACATACATGCATTGGGGGCCGGGTGCATGCGGGAGACACGTGTGCATGTGCGGGGGGCAGGGAAGCATGGAGGGTCCCGCATGCATGCGCAGGAGGGCAGGGGTGTGGGGGGGGATCACACGTGCATGCCCGGGGGGCAGGGGGAACACGGGGGGGTCATGCACACATTGCACTATGAGTGCAGACATGTGTGTGCATGTGCACACTTTCGGCACACGATGACAAAAAGGTTATACATCACTGCTCTAAGCCATAATTTTCTCTTTGTGTCTGGGAATTAATGTTCACACATCTTAAAGTTGTCAAGGCTGAGAAACAATAATCCTGGCAAAAGATAGGAGTTCGGAAGCAGCCATATTGCCAGCACTTGCAGAAAGCCTGTGAGAGTCAGTTGGCAGACCCACACAGAAACTGGAGGTGGAGGGTAGGTAGTGAGGGAAATATGTATGAGGCAACCATGCAAAGCCAGACTCTCGTGGTTGCCCAAGCAAAGGCTTGGCTCCAACCCAGCTGCTCTTAAAGCCAACCTCAGTACACAACGGGGACCAGCTTTTCCATTGCTAAACAAGACAATTGTTAAATAAGTCATGCCCAATTTCATGAACTTTTTTCCCCACAGTTGTTGAATGAATCATTGCAGTTGTTTGGCACAGTCATTAAGCAAATCTGCACCCTTGATTTTGCTTGTCAGGATAGCAATAGCACTTAGACTTATATACCGCTTCACAGTGCTCCACAGCCCTCTCTAAGCGGTTTAAGAAGCTGGCTGGGAAAGCTGCAAACGGTGGTCATAGGATCCCAGGATACATATGGAACCATCATAAATACACACCAGTTGCTAAGGGCCTGTATTTTGATTACACAACCACAGGGATGCTGCAACAGTCGTAAGTCTGAGAACTGGCCGTAAGTCACTTTTTCCAGTGCCATTGCAACTCTGAATTGTTGCTGAACAATTGCAAGTCAAGGACTTTACCTGTAAATGCATTTCCTGACTGGGCAGAGCCAGCTTTGATTGTATGGCATCCTCTTGGCCAGAATTCTACAAAAAGCCAAGGAGATGACAATGCATAGAGCATTTATTTCACGTAGCAGCAAGCGATAGCAATAGCACTTAGACTTATATACCGCTTCACAGTGCTTCACAGCCCTCTCTAAGCGGTTTACAGAGTCGGCCTATTGCCCCCAACAATCTGGGTCCTCATTTTACCAACCCTGAAAGGATGGAAGGCTGAGTCAACCTTGAGCCTGGTGAGATTTGAACTGCCAAATCGCCGGCAGCCGGCAGTCAACAGAACTAGCCTGCAGTACTGCACTCTAACCCCACTGCCCCACCAAGGTTGTGGGTGTGACTGGGGGTCTGACTGCCATGGAAAGACATAGAGATCCAGTTAGGGGACTGTTGGTATAGTTGTGGGCTTTATGAAGACTAAAGGGCGTGATGAGAGCCAGGCATATCTGCAGCAGGTGGTGGAGGAGGGGGCCCAGGTGGGGCAGGGGGAATGTGATGGGTGTCATAGCGGCTGCCTTGGAAAGGCTCCGGGGCCTGCTCCTCTTGGTTCTCAGGTGGACTGGGGCGCCAACGCTTGAAGCTGTAAAAAAAAAAAAAAAGAAACGGGCTTGAGTAAGGAAGCAGCTGAATGTTAATTTATTTCCTGAGTTTTCCATGAGTTTTCCATGAGATGGAGGTCCCATGTTTGTCCCTGTGCTTTTATTTCCCCTGCCACATAACAAGGGCTGAGGGACAGAGGTGGTATTCATCAGGTTCTGACCGGTTCTGGAGAACCGGTAGCAGACATTTTGAGTAGTTCAGAGAACCGGCAAATACCATCTCTGACTGGCCCCGCCCCCATCTATTCTCTGCCTCCTGAGTCCCAGCTGATCGGCTGGGTCTTCTTTTGTTGCCCTGCACAGGAGAACAGAGCTGGAAAGCAGGTTAGTGGGGTGGGGAGGGAATGGAGATTTTGCAGTACCCTTCCCCTGCCATGCCCACCAAGCCACGCCCACAGAACTGATAGTAAAAATGTTTGAATCCCACCACTGCTCAAGAGAGTTAAGATATGCTGAAAGTTGCCTAAAGTCATCCAGTGATCTAACACGAATTTGACCTCAATTCCTTCAGTCCTGGGACCTCTATACCATATTATCTTGCCAATCATGGACAAGTGGCAGAGGGAATATGATTTAATTCTCACTTGGATTCAGTGATGTGTGCAGAAGGGTCCAAAAGTCAAGATGGTCAAGCCCTAACTTTTTTTTAAATGGGTTCAATTGCACAGCTATGGTCCCCATCTTTTGAGACCCTCGCTGTATAGGAGTGATCAAATAATCAAAGCCCCAGATTATACAGGTAGTCCTCAATTTACCACAGTTCATTTAGTGACGGTTCAAAGCAGTGGTGGGATTCAATTTTTTTTACCACTGGTTCTGTGGGTGTGGCTTGGTGGGTGTGGCAGGGGAAGGATACTGCAAAATCCCACCCCACTAACCTGCTTTCCAGATCCATTCTCCTGTGCAGGGCAACCAAAGAAGACCCAGCCAATCAGGAGGCAGAGAATAGATGGGGGCGGGGCCAGTCAGAGGTGGTATTTACCGATTCTCTGAACTACTCAAAATGTCCACTACGGGTTCTCTAGAACTGGTCAGAACCTGCTGAATACCACCTCTGGTTCAAAGTTGAAATGACACTGAAAAATGTGACTTATGTCTTATGACCGTTTTTAAGAGTTATGACCTTTACAGCATCCCCATGTGATCAAAATTCAGATGCTTGGCAATTGGTTCATACTTATGGCTGTTGCTGGGTCCCAAGGTCGTGTGATACCCTTTTGTGACCTTCTGACAAAGCAAAGTCAATGGGGAAGCCAGATTCACTTAACAGCTGGTTTACTACTTATCAATTGCAGTGATTCAACGGTGGCAAGAAAGGTCATAAAATGAGGCAAAACCTCACTTAACAAATGTCTCACTTAACGACAGAAAGTTCGGGCTCAATTGTGGTCGTAAGTCGAGGACTACTTGGACAGTCCTAGCTAGCACGTGGCTCCGTTGATTCCCCTCACGGAGAGATACCTGGTCTCATCGGTGCTTCTTTCTCCTGCCAGCAGTGCAGAAGTGGCCTTGGACCTTGCAATGGTCTCCTCTATTAGAGTTAAGAGGGACCCTCAAATGCCACCCCAACTCCCCATTCAGAAAACCTCTTCACTTGGTGTAATGGGCGCTGATAATGAGGAAGAGAAGGAAGACCTGCAATGGAGGCTGTCTGGTGAAAAGAAGGACTAGGGATGACAGGATAGCAGTATTCTAATACTTGTGGGGCTGCCATAAAGAAGAAAAAGGGAGGGGAGTCAATCAATTCTCCAAAGCACCTGAGGGCAGGACAAGAAGCAATGGATGGAAATTAAGCAAGGAGAGAAGCAACTTAGAACTAAGGAGACATTTCCCGACGGAGAGAACCATTGACCACTGGAATGCCTTGTTGGAACATCCACTGGAGGATTTTAAGAAAGAATATTGGAAAGAATGTTTTAGGAAAATACTGGACAGCCATTTGTCAGAAATTGTATCAGGTCTCCTGCTTGAGCAGGGGGTTGGACTAGAAGACCTCCAAGGTCCCTTCCAGCTCTGTTATTCTGTTAAGCAACAGTCAGAAAGAGAAACCTCAGCCCACACGGAAGGAATTCAGGTAAAGAAAATGCCTCAAACTTGACCCTCCATAGTTCCCTTCTCAGTATAAAGGAAGGAAGGGAAGGGGTTTTCAGACTGGCAAGATTCTGTCATTGTAACCTTATAATAAAGGTAGCTTTAGTCTTCCTGCATTTGGTGTTCAAACCCGATCTACCTTAAAGGGCTGACCTTTGGGCTTTCTGGAAAATTCAGAGTTTTCCGTATATAGATAAGTCTTTGCCACCATCTGGTGGTCAGCTGGATCTCTGCAGCTCAGATATGTTACCTATCCCACATGAAAAGTGTGGAGGAAGGAATGAGCCAGAAGTTAAGAACTCTCTGGGCTTCCGAGAGCTGGTGGGCCTCCTTGCCTCCACTATATTTATGTCACTGGGTTCAGTATTGTTTTCACCCTTCAATCTGGTCTATTTTTAGGACTCCCTCCTTTTTCTCTGAGTGTAGGCAGGGGTGGGCTGCTGGAGGTTTGCAGGGGTTCGGGACAGCCCCTAGCTAAGATTCTGCGCAGTTCAGAGAACCCCCAAATCCCACTCCTGGCTGGCCCCGCCCACCTCATCTCTCTCCTCCCAGGAGTCCCCATGCGGCCTGTTTTGGATGCAGGCCACACGCAGAGGCTCAGGGAGGGTGAAAAATGGGCCTCCTGGAAATTTGGGAAGGCTTGAAACGGGCCCATTTCTGACTTTCAGAGATTGTTTGGAGCCCGGAGAAGCCGTTTTCGCCCTCCTGGAGGCTTGAGAAAAGCCCCCGAAGCCTTTGGAGGGCAAAAATGCACCCTCCCTCACGGTGCAGGAGGCTGACTAGGCCACGCCCACTATGGCCATGCCCACCCAGCAACCGAGCCAATGGTGGGATTCAAAAAATGTTACTACTGGCTCTGTGGGCGTGGCTTGGTGGGCATGGCGTGGCTTGGTGGGTGTGGCTTGGTGGGCGTGGCACAGGAAGGATACTGTAAAATCTCCATTCCCATCCCACTCCTGGGGGAAGGTAACCGCTGGTTCTCCGAACTACTCAAAATTTCCGCTACCGGTTCTCCAGAACTGGTCAGAACCTGCTGAATACTTCCTCTGAACCGAGCAGAGAACCCATTGCTAAAACTTTTGAAGCCCACCCCTGAGTGTAGATAGGATGATCAGCTGTTCTTTGCAGCATCAGGTTCTAGGTGTGGGTACTTACCATTCGTAACAGACGGTGCTCAGGAACCCAATGGTGACGACTCCACAGAGAGCGGAGAGAATGACAGTGATGACAATCATGTCTCCACTACGTCGTCCAGGCCAAGTGTCTATTGTGCTCCAGATTTCAGCTGAGAAGAATGATAATATATAACACTATTAATCAATGATATCAGTATCTGATATCTGGGGGAAGCGGGGAGCGATAACATATGTTTGGACATAATCATGTAGATGATCCACATTATGTAATATGCATTCTTTGTGCCTGGCATAATCTGTGTATGTGAAGGCTGACGCATTGATGTGATCGTGGCTTCTATTTAACCAACGTAGCTCTATTCAAACTATTGTTTTTAATCTTCTTTCCATTTGGCTGCATTTGTTTCTTTGTTGGATTGTGATCTTCCTCTTGGTCCTGGGGATCAAGCAGCTTACATATATAAAACAGAAGAGTTGGCCACGATGACAAAAAATGGACAGCATGCATGTGGTAACTTCACAGTGCAAACCCTGCCCTTTCACACGCGTGCCTGAGATTGGACACAACTTAATATGTAAACCCTAGGATTGCATCATTATATTAGGACACACGACTGATCATTTCTTCCTTTGCTCTCAGACATATATGGATGCATAGGGATCTCCTTCCATCTTATCCTCATAAAAATAACCCTACAAGGAAGACAAAATCTTCCAGTGAACAGTGAGCTCCAAATACAAGAGTAGACTTGAGCCTAGATCTTCCCAGCCCTTGTGCAACACATTCATCACTACATCATAGCAGGTCTCTTGTTCTATATATTAATTGTAGTTTTGAGAGTGGGTGGGTTAAAAATTACAGAATGAAAACATACATGTCAAAAAGAACATGGCCCAGTAGTTAGAAGAGATGTTATGAGGAGTCCTAGCTAGCTAATAAGTCATAAAAAAAAATCCACTTATTTTATTTTTCTCATCTGAGCTCCTTCCTTCCCAAATAATTCAGAATTGCATAACTTGTTCTCCAGATGTGTTAGCCTACAGCTCCCCTAACTATCTTGGCTAGGAATGAAGAGATTGCTGCAGTAATTCACCCATCCAGAAGGCAGGAGCTTGGGAAAAGTTGCTCTAACCATCAATTTGGAAGCCCTGCTATCTGTGAAAAGTATTTTTGCCCATTAATATTTTTTTTGGGGGGGGGGTATGCTTCTGAAAACTGCCAGACCTCCAAACCTGCAAATATTTCTCTTTCCCCTTTGCATGTGTTTCTTTCTCATTTAAGACAGTGATGTCAAACTCAAGGCCCACAGGCCCGCGTGGTACTTAGATCTGGCCTGCGGGGCCAGCCTGGAAATAGCAAAGGACCACAGTGCCTCTGCTAGCAAAAATGGGGTGCGTTTTTGGCCTGGACGGCCTCTTGCAGCACCAGTGTGCGGGAGGCTCCTCCATGCCCCATTTTGGCTGGCAGGGTGCTGCAGAAGGGTGTCCATCCTATCTCCTCCCCCCGGCCTTGCCGGCCTGTGGAGGAGTACAACAATGCTGATCTGGCCCTCCAAGAAATCCAATCTGACACCTCTGATTTAAGATGTGAGCAATAAAGGAGAATATTTGTAGCTCAGGGTTGAAATGGGAGGTCGTTGGTGCTCTCTGAGCTTGGTTGTCTTCTTGCTGATGTTTCATTCCCCAAACTGGGTAACATCAACAGCATGATGATGTTATCTAGTTTGGGTAATGAGACGTTTGCAAGAAAACAAGCAAGCTCAGAAAGCACCAAAGAGCCCTTGTTTCAGATGTATACAATTTAGAAAACTAAGTTTGCTTTTAGTTTTGAACAAGAGGGGTTTTTTTGCTTACGTAGAAATCACACTGCACTTGCTTTTTGTGCAGAGGGGTTTTTTTCAATGCATGGAGAAAGAGGGAACTAAATAAAGAACTAGAAGGATTATAGGCATGGCACTGCTCTTGCCATCATTTGAAAATAAAAGCATGATGGGAGGTTCCACGATTATGGGATGATGGATATTATTTCTGTCTCCCAAAATAGCCATTTCCAACCCAATGCAACTTCCATCATTTCCCAGGTCCACCACCTTTACAGTACCATACATTTCTCAGCTTTTTAATGGGCCGTAAGTTCCTCTACTACTTGTATACCTTTAGTCAGCCAGATTGGAGAAGACCATCTTGTTTCTGCTTTCGAACCCGAGGAGTTCATGGCGAGGAATTTTACTCTGAAAAGTATATAGTGAAATTAAAATACAGGAGGAAGGAATGAAAAAAAATATCAGTGATATTCCAAATGCATTTCAGCTCAATTAATGACCAGGTGTGTCCACAGAATTTGGTCGAAACTGTCAAGATGTTGGGCATAATGGTGAATGAACAAAACAGGGAGGTACGTCCAGTAAGAGAGCAGAGGGCTCGTCTATTTTGGGCTGCTTTGATCATGAATGAAAGGCTGCAAAATCTTTTTTTAAGCTATCAGCCAATATTGCATTAAATATTTTATAATCCTTATTCAACAATGAAATTGTTCTATAATTTTTGGTTAAAGACAAATCTTGTCCTTTTGGAAGTAAAGTACAATATTACCCTCTTTCCAAGGTTCTGGCATAGCAGATCCTCGCAAAATAGAGCTTAGCACATTTTAAATGGTTGTAGAAGCTGGTCTTGAAAATACTTATAATATGAATTTGATAGCTCACCAGGACCTGGCGTTTTCCCTATTTTATTTTATACAGCAAATATCTAGGTTAACCATTAGAGAAATAGAGACTAAATTAAATCATGTGAAGCAGAAAAAAATTACAATTTGCAAACAAATCAGGGAAATGGTTGGCTCGTAAACAGAGGAAGGGAAAAAAAATAACAAAATGATATTAGAGATTTAGGAAGGAAAGAAAAGAAAACAAGAAAAAAAAGGACAAGGGGTGACATGATCGCAACATTCCAGTATTTGAGGGGCTGCCACAAAGAAGAGGAGGTCAACTTATTCTCCAAAGCATCAGAAGGCAAGATAAAAAACAATGGATGGAAATTACTCAAGGAGAGAAGCAACTGGAATTAAGGAGAAATTTCCTAACAGTGAGGACAATTAATCAGAAGTTATAGGTGCTTCATGACTGGGGGGTTTTAAGAAGAGACTGGACAGCCACCTATCTTAAATGGTCAGAGTCTCCTGCTTTAGCAGGTGGCTGGACTAGAAGACCCTTCCAGCTGTATTCTGATTGATTGACTGACTGATTGATTGATTAAAGACTATGTTAACACATAATGTGCATATTTAAAAATCCTTCCATTATTTTATTTGAATTTGTATGAAAAAAAAGAAAAGAAAGTCTCCGTGGAAAAGATTGATGGACATTTGAAAAAAAAAGGAATTTACCCAAACTTTCACAATCTCAAACAAAATATGAATAGTCCAATAACAACTTTTGAAATATCAGAAGCCTTCGTTCCATTTACAC